TTTGCAGATGACACCATTGCTTATGAAAAAAATCAATAAATCTACATGACAACTCCAAGAATAAGTGAAATGTTCCAGACAACATGCAAGATAAATGTACAAAACTCAACGTATTTTCAGGTACAAGTAGCAAACAACTGGAAAAGTAAAAGACAAACCAATTTACATATTGTGAAAATGTCTATGAATAAGCTTAAGAAAATACATTCAAGATCTCTATATAGAAAATTACAGGATATTTCTTTTTTTTCTTTTTTTGAGGCAGAGTCTCGCTCTGTCGCCAGGCTGGAGTGCAGTGGTGCGATCTTGGTTCACTGCAAACTCCACCTCCCAGGTTCAAGTGATTTTCCTGCCTCAGCTCCTGAGCAGCTGGGATTACAGGTGCCAGTCACCACGCCCACCTGATCTCGGGTGATCCGCCTGCCTTGGCCTCCCAAAGTGCTGGGATTACAGGCATGAGCTACTGCGCCCGGCCTACTACAGAGTATTTCTGAGAAAAATTAAAGGAGACTGAAATAGAAGTTATGCTAAGGTTACAGACTGGAAGTCACCGCTGTTAAGTGTCAGTTCTCTTCAGATTTATCTGCAGAGTTGATGCAATCTCAGTTATAATACTGACAGGCTTTTTGGTAGGAACTGATAAGGTGACTCTGAACATTTATTAGAAAATACAAATAAGCTAGAGTAGTGAGGCCAATTTTTATTTTATTTGTATTTTATTTTTTAACCCAGGAAAGCATCACCAGGATTTTTTTTTTTTTTTTTTTTTTAAGAGACAGGGTCTCATTCTGTCAACCTGGCTGGACCACAATGGTGTGATCACAACTCACTGCAGCCTTGAACTCCTGGGCTCAAGCGATCCTCCCACCTTAGCCTCCGAGTAGCTAGGACTACAGATGGGTGGGCCACCATGCCCAGCTAATTTCTAAATTTTTTTGTAGAGACAAGGTCTTGCTATGTTTCCCAGGCTGGTCTTGATCTTCTGGGCTTAAGTGATCCTCCCGCCTGGGGCTCCTAAAGTGCTGGGATTATAGGCATGAGCCACCATGCCCAGCCTAGAGTTTGTTAAAATAACAACAAAACTGGAAGACTTAGACTACCAAATTTCAAGACTTCCTCTAAAGCTATAATTAAGACAATGTGGAACTGCTGAGAAGACAGAGATTGATGAAACAGATTATTTCAGAAGGGTACCCATGGTAATTGACTTTTGCAAAAGGTGCCAATAACAACATAAGGAGGAAAATGAAAGACATCTCCCAAAACTGGTGTCACTGTGGGTCAATAATATGGGGGAAAATATACTTCAACCTTTACCTCCTCCATTATCCATAATAAAAACATGAAATAGATCTAACTGTAAAGGGTAAAAATACAAAATAGCTATGGAAAACATGTAAGAAATTCTACATAGGCTCAGCATAGAATAAATAATACTTCTTAGAAGATAAAAAGCATAACTAGGTCAGGCATGGTGGCTCACGCCTGTAGTCCCAGCACTTCGGGAGGCTGAGGCAGATGGACTGCTTGAGCTCAGGAGGTCGAGACAAGCCTGGACAACATGGGGAAACCTAGTCTCTACAAAAAATATAAAAATTAGTTAGGTGTGGTGGCATATGCCTGTAGTCCCAGCTACTTGGGAGGCTGAGGTGGGAGGATCGCTTGAGCCCGGTAGGCAGAGACTGCAGTGAGTCATGATTGTGCCACTGCACTGTAGCCTGGGTGACAGAGTGAGACCCTGTCTGAAAAATAAATAAAAGCATAACCATTAAAAAATGTGATTAATTGGATGTGATCAAACTTAAAGCTTTTATCACCATTATGTAAGTGAAAAGGTAGGTTACAGAATAGAAAATATTTCCAAAATCTGGTGACCTCTCATAACTGGACATGAAGAAAAACCTCTAATTTAAAAAATAATCAGCAAGACTTCAACACACACTTCACAAAAAATATATATCAGTAGTCAAGGGAAGGCATTTTTAAGTTAAATCAAAAGTACAATGAAGTATCATTCCATACAAACTAAGATAGCATATTTTTAAAGACTCAGAGTACGAAGTACTGGTGATGATATGGAATAATCAGAATTAACATTTTGAGTTTTGGTTATTTGCTAACATTTTCCATTACACATTCTACAGTGTCGAGTAAGGTGAGAGCTGCATCTAAAGGACTTCCCGCACTGACTGCACTGAAAGGGTTTTTCACCAGTATGAATTCTATTATGTTGACAAAGTGTGGGCCTTCCCACAGGCATGGCATTTATAAGGTTTCTCTCCACTGTGTGTTCTCTTATGAGTAACAAGGGAAGAGTGCGCGCTGAAGGCTTTTCCACATTCCTTGCATTTATACGGTTTCTCTCCACTGTGTGTTCTCTTATGAGTAACAAGGGAAGAATGGGCGCTGAAGGCCTTTCCACATTGCTTGCATTCATAGGGTTTCTCACCAGTATGAACTCTCCTGTGCAGAGTGAGCTGCATGACACAACAAAAGGTCTTTTTGCAGTCCTTACATTGATACGGTTTTTCTCCAGTGTGACTTCTCCAATGTTCAATCAGGGAAGACAGGCACACAAAAGATTTCTTACACTTACTACACTCACAGGGTTTTTCTCCAGAATGAGTGTTCTGATGTCTAATGAGCTGGGCACTTTGAGTGAAGGCTCTGCCGCACTCCTTACATTCATATGGCTTTTCTCCACCATGAATTCGCTGGTGATCCATAAGGGCTGAGGAACGGCTGAAGGCCTTTCCACATTCACTGCATTCATGGAACTTTTCTCTCATATGTGTACTCTGATGCTGTGTGAGATGAGTCATCTGGCTGAAGGTTTTCCTACATTCCTTACATTTGTAAGGTTTCTCACCCGTGTGAATTCTCTCATGCTGGGTAAGGTGTGCCCTCTGGTTGAAGGTTTTACTACATTCGTTACATTTATAGGGTCTCTCTCCCGTGTGGATTCTTTGATGTTGAATGAGAGTTGACCGACGAGTGAAGGGTTTCCCACAATCTAAACACTGATTGCATTTCTTTCGCGTGTGATTTCTCTTACGGAGAGTAAGCTGCGTATTGTGGCAGTATACATTTCCACATTCCTTACATACGTTTCTTGTACATTTTATCACTGTGTCAAACTGAGATAATACTTCATTAATAGCCCTCTTTGCAGATAACTCCTTAATCTCTGCACCTGGTGCATCTGAACGGGGAAAAAAAACTAATGAACAGAAGCAAGTTAAACTAATGTAACACGCCCGCCTTTTATCTTTTCAAACCCACTTTAGGCACCTACTCAAGAAATTAAGCTACCAGTTTTTAAAGTTATATTGATAAGAATGCTTATTGAAATAGGCTTTACATTGGAAACAAACTAGGTGTCCCTCATCATTAACCATGGTATATCTCTATCTGTAGTACTACTCAGCTACTAAAAAGACTGAACTTCAGCTGTTTTCTGACCTGCAGGATAATGTATTCAGTGAAAAGAACAAGATGCAGACTTATGTGCTAAGTTATACCACAAGTTTCAAAACACAAAAAGGTAAACGATAGTTTCTGTATGTATATGTACGCATTAACCGGAGGAATTAATGTGTCCAGATAGAAGGCACCTCCAGTTAGTTTACTGCAGAAAACAATTTGACATAATATAGAAACAATAAAATCAATCATATAATCAGGGGCAGACAGGGCATGAATTCTCGTTGATATAGACATTTTGAGATTGAAGAGATCGCTAAGCAAACAGGAAAAATAAGAGGGTCAAGTGCAGGCTGCAAGGAAACAGATTTAGAGCTTAAGAAAACATGTACTGTGGGGAACTGCAGAAGCCAAAATGGCATTACAGGAAGGCTGATCAACATCATCAAAAATTAAAGAAAGGCAATAGGATTTGCGACAAAGACGAACATAATACCCTTCTAACCTGTAGTTATTTTTACTGTTTAGGAGCTAAAGGGCAGAGATGATGGCTGTGCTTGATGTAAAAGTTAAGAACAGAACCGTGGTCAATTACAAATGACTGAGTCTGGCCTGTTCTTCATGCACTAAACATGTGGGAATCCCAGTTTTTTCCAGATTGAACTGTGTATGTAGACAGTGGAGAGGGCTAACCTCATGAAGGGTGCAAGAGGAGCTGGTTTTACAGGGGACCTCCACCACAAGGCCTAATGATTTTTAAAATGAACTCAAATAAAAGATTATTACCAAATGTGACGATTCAAGCTCATTGTTCTACATCCTTTGCACCACAGAAATATCCATTTTAGCAAGAACCATAATTAGTCAGATACCAACTACCTTTCAATGTTGTCTTACTCTAATGTCTTGGTCTTACTTTGGTTACCTTTTCTTCATGAATAGTGAGGCCCTGGAATTCTAACACAGAATGTTTCCTGTTTCTCCTGCTACCAATCAATCAGTCCTTCTCTGCTATCCATAGGCAATTCACTTCTTCCATTCCTAAGGGTTCATCACCACAAAACATATAGAAAACACGTTCATCTCCAATTCTGAATTACTATTGAGATCCAGTTACATATTTCTAATGTACAGTTCAAGACATACCTTAATTCTAACAATTCCCTAAATAAATATAGCAGAAATGTACTTCATTTCCTCACTTTCTGTAACTTTAAATATCACCAAGTTTTGAAGCTAAAACTCTACTAACTCCCACACACCAAAATAACCCGTTTTAATCAGTTTCTACCAGTTAATTAGTTTCTACTTTGCACAAGGTTTGTGGAAGCAAGTCTTAATCCCCTCACTCAAATGTAAACTCACTGCAAGTTTCTATGCTTTTAAACAAACTCAGAAAAGAACACAGCAGGCTTTGAGACTGTTCTCCTAAGAAAGGTGTGCTTACAAGGTTGGCCCGATTGACCTCTAAGGAACTTGGGTTTCAGGAGGGTGTCTACCATTCCCGGAACTGGTACAAGTGACTTACCACACCTAAACTATTTGTGCAGGTGATGTGGTTTATGCAGAACACCTACTTTCGTTTTGAGAGTCTGGATTTTCAGCATACACTAGGCAGAGGGTACCTTTATGGCTTCCCTAAGTAAAATTCCTTGGCACTAAGTCTAAAGTTATCTAGCTGCTATCATCTCACACATACCACACAAGTTGCTGCTAGAGGAATTAAGTACCTCCTTTGTGACTCCACTGGGAGAGGAATCTCAGAAGCACATTCCTGATTTCCTCCAGACCTTGCCTTATGAGCTTACCTTTGCTGATTTTGCTTTATATCTTTTGCTAAAATAAAACTTAGCCATTGTGCAGTCAAGAATTTAACCTTTTCCAAAGAGAGGTCTAGTCTTTGCCCTTGGCTCCTGGGAGGTAATCTCTGACACCTTGAAATATCCTGCATGATCAAAGTGTCTCTATTTGCCTATGGGCGTTGGACCACACCAGAGAGTCAAATTATGTGATTTATGTGGGGCTCCAGGTCACATGATATTAGGGCGACCTCCAGAAGGGCTAGAGCCTGAGGTGAGACATGAGCAGTCAGCCATGTCTACATGATGGTGCCCTAATGAGGAGTCTGGATACCAAGGGTCAGGTAGGCTTCCTTGGTTGGTCAAACACTGTGCATATTGCCACACATCATTGTTGGGAGGAGTTAACACTGTCCATGACTCCACTGTAGGGGCATAAATGGAAGTCCTCCTAGACTCTGCCCATGTCTTTTTCCTTGGCTGATTTTAACGTGTATCCTTTCATGGTAATAAACTGTAACCATGAGTATAACAGCTTTCAGTGAGTTCAGTGAAGTTCTGTGAGTCCTCGTGAATTATCAAACCTAATTATCGTGGGGACCTTTGGATTTGCAATTCATGTCAGAATTCAGGGTGGTCTTGGGGATCCCCATACTTTTCAGCTGGCATCAGAATGATGGTGTTCTTCTAGACTATTTACTAACTTTGCAGGCATGAATACAACGATATCATGACTCCTGTGACTACTCCTAGTAAGTCCTTGAACCTGGAGGTGGTCTTGGGGACTCTCAACAGTTGATTAGTTTTAAAAAAGGAATGAATGTTAATGAATAAATGACCAATGAATATACCCATTCAAACAATCAGACCACTATATAAGTCATTTTACAGTAAAGAAAACAACAGTATCAAAGAATCAAATAAAAAAAAAGTTGGAGAAACAGGATACTGAGTTTAAAAAGAAGCTTACCATAGACAAAGAGGAAAGACACACCTGTAATTTCTGAGCCCACAGGCATTTATAAAAGTAGATATAAACGGTGGGTGATCAGTATCCTTTTAGGAACTCAAACTCAAGAAGCCTCAATGTCTACATGTGTATGGAACAGTGGAAGACAGCATCCTTCACATCTTAAAGGTGCTTTGCCCTCTAGAACTGGTATGCCTTTAATATACATGGCTTACCCCTGCTAGTTGATTCTTCATACTCACCTGGCAATGGGACTCTTATCTCTTCTTTTCCCATTATCCAAGGCAGTTTCCTTTTCTCCAACAGTGAAATCACAGATTTAGAAATGGAAAGTCCTGTGAAAATAAATAGAAAGAATTGGCTATGCTCTGGTTACTCAGGTATTCTGACAGATCAACACTGTAATCAAAACACAAGCCATTATAAAAACAAAAAAATCAGAATATCTGGCAGATAGGATAAAGAAAGCTGCTCACTTCAATTTCCACATCTCATGTAAATTCTGAATCTCACCAAAGACTCCCAGTATTTAAAAAAAAAAAAAAGACACGCTCAAGACATGCTGAATTAAGGGCTTTAAGCACTTACCCAGCCAGACCAGGTTCTGATAATTCTCCAACATCACAGTTGTGTACAAATCTCTCTGAGCAGGGTTCAGGAATCCCCACTCTTCCTTGGAGAAGTCAATGGCCACATCTTGGAATGTCACTGATCCCTGAAATGACAAACACTTTCTTAGAAGAGTCCAGGTAAATAACTGGAAGTTGGGAGGAGCTGATAAGGACTCTATGTCTTGTAAGAGCAGTTTATTTAACTTGCTGAAGAACAATACTGTGAAATAGTGTTTATTAAAATTTGGGTATAGAAAAATACTTAATAAGGGAAACATTCAAGATGAACAGGGTGATTCAAAAAACATTGAATAATTTAAGAAATGTATTGCCCAGAGATTGTGTATCCACGTATTCAAAACCAATTTGTAAAGGAACTATCACAGTTGATTTCATAATCTTACATATTCATAGTATGACCACACATTGACTTTGTCGAAAGCCAGTCATGATCAATTCTATCATGGATCTTTAGTGTGAGTATCAGAATAACTTACAAATTACTTTTTTGCTGAAACAAAACATAGTCTCCTTTCTTTAAATCTGGATTGGACCTACAATTTGCTTTAATCAACAGAATGTGACAGAAGTAACACTAACTAGTTCCAGGTGAAAGCTTTAGGAAGGCTTGGCATCTTCTGTTTTGCCCTCATAGGGGCTCATCACACATAAGAAAAGTCAATGAGACATTGCCAATGGCGAGTGAGGGATTCTGAGACTACATCAAATAAAGCTGAGGAACTCAGCTAGCAGCAAAGAACAGTGGCCCAGATATATGACTCCAGCTATTCTAGCTAAATATAAAATATATGAACGAAGAAGTCATCCTGGGGATTCAGGCCCCGGCAGGCATCATAGGATCAGAGATTAATCATTCCCATCCTGTCGAGTTCAGTGTGGATTCCTCACCCATAGAATCATACGAAATAAAGTAGTCCTTGCTCTTGCAGCTACATTTTAGGGTAGTAGATGTAATGGTCCAAAAACTGCAGCAGATGTGTTATTATTTCACCTTATTTGCTTCCATCAGGTGTGCAACAGAAGCAAGGAAGGTTTCATCCTCAGCTACTTTTGAAGAAGCTGGGAAGAACTGAGGATGCCCAGCCTATGGTTAGTTTTCCTTTCCAATATCCTGGGACTTCATCAACTCATAATACAACTACGATTCCCAATTACTCCAATCATATACAGTTGCCCTGTGTCGTCCTTTCCAGATACACCCCTGTACCATCTGTAACAACAGTACAAAGGTCAAAAGCTATTGAAACTTTATCATACTAAACATGAGGCAGAGAAGGTTCCTCTTTTCTCACTTGAATGTGGGGTTTAAGAAATCAGTATTGCTGGGTGCAGTGGCTCACACCTATAATCCCAGTGTTGCTGGACTAAGCTGAGGGTCAGGCTGCTATTTATTGAGGCCCAATAACGAGATGCAGATGAACTGGGGAGGAAGGGAGTTTTTATTTCTGTAGCCAGTTACAGGGAGAAGACCTGGAAATTACTGCCAGACTAACTCAAAATTACAAAGTTTTCCAGAGCTTATATACCTTCTAAACTATATATCTACGTGTAGGTATGCATTCATCTAAAGACAAGTAATTAACTTCTTTTAATCTATAACCAAAGACTGAGTCTTGAAGACCTTCCTCTGGAGCCTCAGTAAATTTACTTAATCTAAATGGGTGTAGGGTGCTGGAGTGATTACCCTTATCTTGTCTCCTGCTAAACCACGGTGGTTTGGGGAGTTCCTTCAGACCTCCAATAAACTTATTTGTGGAGGCGCAGGGAGTTTCTTCAGACCCCCCCAGTAAAACTTGTTTCATCCTAAATGGGTCCAATTAAGAATCCCTTCATTATTTTGTCATGCTTTAAGGCCCAGGAAAGGCCAAGGCAAAACTCTTGGTGGGCTTTTGTTACATTCCAGCCGCTGTATAAGGGTACTGGCTTTTAATATTTAACCTGTCTGTCAGTACTGAAACAGCTGTTACGGAGACCTGTGCTTGGCGAGACGTGGCCTGCCACACCAGCACTTTGGGAGGCCAAGGCAGGAGGACTGCTTGAGCCCAGAAGTTCAAGACGAGCCTGGGCAACACAGCAAGACTTCGTCTCTACAAAAAAATTAAAAAATTAGCCAGGCACGGTGGCTCACACCTGTAGTCCCAGCTACTCAGGAGGCTGAGGCAGGAGGACTGCTTGAACCTAGGAGGTTGAGGCTGCAGTAAGCCATGATCAATATGATGAATTCATGTCCAATATGATCAGTTTACACAAACAATCCACCCATCAGCAGATCCCTGATCAAGAAACTGAGTGTTACCAGCACCTCCAAGATTCCCCAAGATTGCTTCAAGACACACCTCTTGCTATCCTGAATTCTGTCACCATAAATGAGGCAGACTACAGTATTTTTAATGAATATTTTTTCTTGATATTCTTCAGATGCCGGTATTTTCTTTTTCTTTTAAGAGAGAGGGGTCTTGTTATGCTGCCTAGGCTGGAATGCAGTGGCTTTTCACAGGTGTGATCACACTGCACTACAGTGCTGAAATACTTGGCTGAAGTGATCCTCCTGCCTCAGCTTCCCAAGTTGCTGGGACTACAGGGGTGCCCAGATGCCAGTATTTTTTCTACAACTACATCTTCTAAAAGATCACCAAAAGATACAGGTTGAATATCCCTAATCTGAAATGCTTCAAAATCCAAAACAGAATGAGTAAGGAAAATACTGCTTGTTTTCCTAAAAGAAAGAAAATACAGGCTGGGCGCAGTGGCTCACGCCTGTAATCCCAGCACTTTGGGAGGCCGAGGCAGGCAGATCATGAGGTCAGGAGATCGAGACCATCCTGGCTAACACTGTGAAACCCTGTCTCTACTAAAAATACAAAAAAATATATATATATATATAGCCAGGCCTGGTGGCGGGCGCCTGTAGTCCCAGCTACTCAGGAGGCTGAGGCAGGAGAATGGCCTGAACCTGGGAAGCGGAGTTTGCAGTGAGCCGAGATTGTGCCACTGCACTCTAGCCTGGGCGACAGAAGGAGACACCGTCTCAAAAAAAAGAAAAGAAAGAAAATATAAGTTTCCCCTTTGAGAAGAAAATCTATTTTTCAAACAAAATGTCTTGGTGTCTACACTTAGCAGGCTAAGAATCAAATCTGGTTGTATTTGCACAAAATTTCAGAGACCATGCAAACACCCTGAAGAGAACTCTATTTTGGGAAATATAGCCAGCTCATCCATCTTGTCCCTTGCAGCAGACTTCTTGTTCCTCATTTACAGAAAGCCAATAGGTTTTTCCCAGAATTCCACAGATGAAGCCTGTGACTTTATTTTAAGCTGCCCAACTTCAAACTGGAACCTTTGATCCAAAACACTTTGACTAATGTCCTAATAAATGGCCTGACTTTGTTAATCTGGACTTCATGCTCGAGACATCAATCACATTCCCATTCCTCCAAATTTCCAAAGGCAGATTACCATAACTGAGCCTAAATCACTCACTAGCATTTTCTATGCTGCGTCCTCTCAGTCTGGAGCAGTAAAGAAAGTCAAAGATGACGGAGTATTCACCTCTACTTCAAGAAGATGACAGTCCCCGAATAAAGGCTCTCGTCTTCTCCAGGGAAAGTATCTTTGACCCACCATATAGTGCTTAAAAGAAGACTGGTGACAGTGGAGATTCAGATTAATTCATTCAGTGAATAAAGGAACACTAAAGTACAGGACATGGACTCTGAGAGGTCCCGATAGTCCCATGTGTTGCTGAATGAAAAGACCTGAACCTTGTCTCGGTGTCAGTCTTTACCATCCAAGTAAGCAAAAGTAGATGTGCCCAGGACTTAAAACCTATGATGTTGCACGAAAAGAAGATAAAACAAAAACTTACCTGAGACATGGCTAATGACCACTGCGCTGGAACAGTGTCCTGAACAGTGACCGGGTCCTGGAAATGCAGAGCTAAGGAGAAGGAAGAAAACTTCAGTGACCAGATTCTCGAACCCACTGCCACCCATTTTCAACCACGTTCCTAACAAACTCCAAGAACGAAAGATTTCACGGTCAAAAGAAAACACTGTTTAGCGTGCAGCTCTGGTTCCTAAAACTGTAACTGGGCCTTTTTCAATGCCCCAGTCGCCTACTCTGGGATAGAACCATTCACACAAAGAGTAATTTTAATAATGCCCTCCGTGTACACAAACGCCAACACACAGATCACGCGCGCATGGTTGTCAGGCACCCGCCTCCTCCACACTCAGGCCGGGTCGCCTGCACGGATCCCTGGGCCTCCAGCCATTCGCCGGCCACGCCTCCCCGGAGTGCCTCTGAGACAGACGGCCCCGACGCAACACAAACCTCATAATGGCCCAGGCTCCGCGTGGCGCTGGGAAAATACGGTCCAACAAAAGAGAAACGGCGACGCTGCCCACTCACGTGTCCTTGGAGCCCGCCAATCTGAAGCGGCTGCCGCACCGCGTGTGCCCAGTGGTTTCTGGGAGTAGGCGAGGGCTCGCAGTGCGCATGTGCAGCCCCACGCCCCCGCTCCCAGAGACCGGAATATAGAGGCGTCCTCGGTTAGGAGACAAGCTACCTAGGGCACAAAGTGCGCATGCGTACTGACGTCCCGTAGGCCTTCGACGCCGAACGCGGTGGAGGCGGTTCCGCTGGTGATTGAGTACGCGTGCGTGAGCTCTGCCTTGGGGGCGTGGCTTTGTGCCCGTTGGAGGCGTTGAGAGAACGCTGCGCCTGCGCACAGAGAACCAAGCGATTGCCTTCTGAGGGATGAATCGTGGGAGGCTTTAAGAGGTGGGGAAAGGCCTATGATAATACATTGGCGCGGACATGTGCGTCTTAAGTTTGGGAAAGTGTTATTAGAGGTGAGTGGGACCGCCGGGCGTCTGCTTTGGTGTATCTGATAGGCCCCATTCTCTGTGAGGTTAGGCCCGTTCTCCATGAGGTTGTGTGATTTGATGTGTGACCCTATGTGCAGCTCTGTGGGTGTTTTGTTGACACTTGAGCTATAGAGTGGGTCTGCTGTGTGACTTTTTATTGTTTAATCTTTATGAGCTTCAGTTGCTCTTGTGGCAGTGGAACAATATTTCTCAGCTAATGGTGTTGTGAGGATTAAGTGTTCATAAATGTGCCTGGCACAAAATAAGCAATGAATGGAGAAATTGTGCGTCAGTGCATTATTTAGATTACGGGCTTCCGGGTCATTTGATTCTACTTTGTCATTGTTTTGAGCTGTTTATCAACTCACATTGCGGATCGCTGATGGCAGTTCAAATTACTTCTTGTTTATACAAAAGTAAATTGGAGGAGGCTCAGTTTACTTCCCTCCTCCATCTCCATCTGGGAGGAGGCCAGTTTTTGCCTCTTTTGCTACTGCACATCATTTTAATTAAATTTTTTTTTTGTTGTTGTTAAACAGCGTCTCACTCTATTGCCAACACTGAAGTGCAGTGGCACCATCATAGCTCACTGCAGCCACAACCTCTTGACATCCTGGATTGAAACTATCTTCCTGCCTCAGCCTCCTGAGTAGCTGGAACTACAGGTGCGCACCACCATGCCCGGCTAATTTTTTAAGTATAGGTGAGATCTCACTATGTTACCCAGGCTGGTCTCAAACTCTTGGCCTCAAGTGATCCTCCCACATTGACCTACCAAAGTGCTGCGATTACAGGCATGAGCCACTGCAGCCAGCCACTTTCATATTCTTGATCTATACATGTGACGTTTTTTTCGGCTGGAGGAAGTGTTCTCTTATGAGTTAGTCCATGTCACCAGTTTTTCTCATTAATGAGTTAAGTAAAATCTTCAAGCTGTGTTTTTCGCCTATTAGAGTGCCTTGTGATTTTTTTCCTGATAGCTGAATGTGATGTACTTGGTAAAATAAGCTGCATGATAGGTCTTTAGTAACATGGTGATAAGATTTGGTTGTGAGAGGGGAAGTGTTCTATAGTCTGCAAAAAACATATAAACTTAGGCACATTAAAATTTTAAAGAGTTTCTTTAAGCAGGCAGCAGTTCATGAATTGGGCATTGCCAGACCACATGCAGCTTAGGGCCCCTCTGAAGAGGCATGAGGGAAAGGCTTTTACAGGCTGAACTCAGAAACAAGACAAAGAAAATACTTGATTGGTTAGTGTAGAGCCTTATTTGGCTCATTCCAGTGGAAAGCCAATAGTAGGAGGTTAATTGGTGGTTTCTGATTGGTTAAGGCCAGTTACACTGAGTTGGGTTTGGGTTTGCTTAGGTTAAGAATTCAGGATACTGGAGCCATCTCAGCCTAATGACCTCCCAATTAATGGTTTCAAGAAGTCTTAATGGTAAGGTTTCAGTCTTTTGTTTTGTTTTGTTTTGTTTTTTGTTTTTTTGAGACTGCGTCTCGCTCTGTCACCCAGGCTGGAGTGCAATGGTGCAATCTTGGCTCACTGCAAGCTCTGCCTCCCGGGTTCATGCCATTCGCCTGCCTCAGCCTCCCGAGTAGCTGGGCCGACAGGCACCCACCACCATGCCCAGCTAATTTTTTGTATTTTTAGTAAAGATGGGGTTTCACCACGTTAGCCAGGATGGTCTTGATCTCCTGACCTCATGATCCGCCCGCCTCGGCCTCCCAAAGGTTTCAGTCTCTTATCCTGTGCCCAGGGACTATGAATTTCACAAGTGCTTTTCAGTAAAACCCTCCTTCCCCTTAAGTGGGACAGGATGGCAAGAGGGGACCAGAGTTTATTTTCCTTCTTCTAAGTCATTTGGACACTGATAAAACGGCTCTGGTAAAATGGTTTCTCTCCAGAGCATTCAACAGAATGCTCTGGTATATTTCAAAATGGCTACTCTTCCTCTTCCCCTGCCAGAACCAGCTGGGGACTTTTCTCAGATCTTCACTGTGAGAACCTGCTAGAGTCCTTGGAGATGAAACTCACGAAAGTGTAAAGATAGAAACCATATAAGCCAGGAGAGACTGGGGGACTATATTCAGCATCCTTAAATAAAAGAAGTACCATTCTTGGGAGGCCCATAGGAGGGATTCCTGCTTCTCAGTTGTAGGATATTGAGCAGCATCCCTGATCTCCAGCCACTAGATGCTAGGTGCAAACCTGCTAACACTCTCCAGCCCCCACAACCAGTTGTAATGAACAAAAATAATTCCAGACACTGCCAAACTGGGGGCATTATATTAAGTGAAATAAGCCAGGGACTGAAAGACACATATTACATGTTCTCATTCATATGTGGGAACTAAAACTGTGGATCTCATGGAGGTAGAGAGTTGACTGGTGGCTTCCAGAGGCTGGGAAGGGACAGGGGAAGAAGAGAGGTTTGTTCCCAGGTACAAAAATACAACTGGACAGAGGGGATAAGATCTAGTGTTTGACAGTACAATAGAACAACTATAGCTAGCAATATTTTGTGGTATAATTCAAAATTGCTGGAGGAGAGGAATTGGAATGTTCCCAACATGGGTGAAGGTTTGGGGTGATGAAGTCCCAATTGTCCTCGTTTATTGTTATACATTGTATGCATGTATCAAAATACTGCATGTACCCCCAAAATATGTATAAGTATTGTGTAATGATAAAGTCTGTGTCGGGGCCTCTGTATACTTACAGCTGAGAGCTGGGCTTTGCATGCATGAGGCAAGATCACCAGACATTTGCCAAATAGCAGTGACTATGTTTTATTATTCCTCACTCTCCAAACTTATTAACACACAGCAGTGACTATGAACAGTCCCTTAACACCCTTGGCATCCAGCTCAGTCGCTGAACGTAGCCAGACAAAAACAGACACAGCACAGACTGTGGAGAAAGAGGAGAAAAAAGACCCCCTGACTTCTCATCCAAAAAAATTAAGGCCTAACACAAATGGAAAATTGTAAAGTGCTGAAGAAAAAAAAAAAAAAAACTTCATGCTATATCCTATGAAAATATCCTTCAAAGATGAGGATGGAAATCAAGGTAATCTTAGAAACATGCAAAGCTATAAGAATTTTTATTGCCCACAACCTACATGACCACCAGTTCTAAGGGAACTCCTTCAGTCTGTGCAGGAATCATAGTGCAGGTCCAGGGATGAACCTGAGAAACAGTAAAGGAGTATATATAAAAGACAACATTTTCTTTCCTGATGGAATTGCTGTAAAACACTGCCGACTCTTGAAAGGACAATAACCCCATAGGCAGTTTTTATACTGTAGGCAAAAGTAAAAATTACAAGAATTGCACGAAGAAGGATATGGGGTAAATGGAATCAGTTATACACTCTTGGTTTTCTCCTCACTGAGACTGAAGAGGAAATAAATGAATTTTACAATATATGAAGCCAGAAAATTAACTTTCCCCTCAGGGCTTAGTATAATGTAGCACCCCGCCACCCTCTCCCTGCTCCCCGCACACTAATATTAATAGCCTGTGCTCCTTCTGTGCTCAGTGAGCCTTATCTATACTCCCCAGTTTCACATTCCTTAGAGCTCTGTGAATTCTTGCTTACCTCCCAGCACAGCTGCAAGGTCATAAGATTGATAAGTATATGTTACAGAACCATGTATTTCCGGGGATGTAAGACATGGGGTAACAACTGCCTGCCTTCTCGCTTCTGTAAGTACGCTTCCTGCATCACGTAATTCCCACCACTGACTGTTTAAAAGGTGGCTGCTGTCTTTGTTTGGGGCTCAGACTTTCCTGGACGCTAGTCCTACTGAGCCAGGTGATCACCTTAATAAAGGCTCTCCTGAACTCTGTTCGGTCTCTCCCAGCTCTGATTGTCCCGCTACAAGACAGTTATCAAATCCTCCATCTGCGTAACTCCATCAGCAGACCCTGCATTTACCTTCTGGGACAATTTGGTACTTTCCCTATATTTTTCTCCCTGTCTCATCCTTTCATGTATTTATTACATATCTTAAAGTAGGTGTGTTTCACCAAGTACACACTGGTGTCTGGTATTAATCAGGCTGTCAGTAAATAATATTGGCACCACAGAAAATAAATGTACGTCTATTCTTTGTCTTTTCCCAAATACTAATCTGTAAATTTATTTAGGTTGTGGCTTGAGGTCATCATAATCATTACCTTCTTCCCAGTCCTGATTCAAACCTTGACCCATAATAGGTGCTTAATACCTAAACATATGAAAGAATAAAGAATGGATGCACATTCTAAGTTAATAAATAATCAGGAACAAATACATGGAAGGATCAGTACTGCCCGTTTAAACACACACAAAGTCCTGCACTATTTGCCAATAAACACAGTCTGGACCCAAAGTTCAAGTTGGAATTTTCTGTTATAAATTGTTTTATCATAATTGTTTTACAGTCATAATTGTTTTACAGAGCTTGGTCTTGGGCTATTTTTGTTACTTTATTTTTTAATTTATTTTTTCCAGTATTTTCTTGTATCTCTACAATGTTTTAAGCATCGGCCAAGTCAGCGTAAAACAGTAAAAATTGGGGGAAAAAAAAATTGACATGATCTTCAAAATCATGGTGTATACAGTAAAATAAATGAACCTGACAGTAAATAAGCAAATAGAAATATAGCGTGTGACACTGTAATATTAGAACATTTTGATCATACTGTTACTGCCACATCACCTAAGACATTTGGAGGCAGTTTTATACAATTTTGATAGTTTGGGTAAGTTTTGATTTAAGCAATAATCTA